TGGTTCATGTTGTATTAATTTTTAACTTTCAGAACTTTTTTTCCCAATTTTAGGAGGTATCGTCTTATTATTGGCAGTTACTATTTATGTTTTGTAGAAACGTTTAGGTATGAAGGAAAGATAGCAAAGTGAAAACTTCATGATATTCTGCGAAAATATTCCCAGGAATTGCCTGTAGAAAACAGATTAATGTATCTATATAAGGTATTTTATGTTAATTAAAAATTTTGAGAGTTGCATCTTTACAGTAACTTCTTTTCGTTAGACCACACCAGGATGCAAATGAGATTAAAGATTATTTAATGTGTTTAAGGAGTTTTAAATGTTTTAGAGATAGAGCTTCGCAGCGAAGCTTGCAGCTTTATTTTTACACCGTCCTGCGCTGTCACTTAAAATTTTGGTATTTGCCATTTGCTATCCGAAGTTAAAATGCGCCATTAAAGTTTTGAGCTAGCTTAGATAGGCCATATTTCTGCAGTCTCGGGCTACGAAATTCAATTTCATGCCTGTTTTAACACTCGCAAGTGGCAAAGTTTTAACTGAAAGCATATGTTGTGCCTTCTGTTTAAACTGAAGCTTAAATACAACACAAAAATAAAATAGGTTTGTTTTAAACCTTCATAAGACACAGCGATAACTTGCTTAACAGTCTAAGGGTCTGAAGGACTTTGAGCTAAATTTAAACACTTAGGATATTATATATCTTGTTTTAGATTCTTATATATCTTTTTATATCTATATCTTGTGTTAGATTACACAAAGTGTTTCTTATGGAAGTAGTTATTAGGAAAATTTTAACTCATCAATAACAGAGTTTATTTCTTAGAGCTCAATGTTTTCGATACTTTTAAATGAAGAAGCACGTAAAATGTTGCTTTTCAGAACTCTAGTTTGTTTTTCAGCTTAATAAATGTTTTCACATATAGATATGCTAAAAAGGAGGTAAAATATGTGTATCTAAATGATTAAGCTAAATTTTCGTCTCTAATATTCTTAAAAAATTCTTCCTGATTACACATAAAATAAATAAATTCAAAACACTTGGTACTCAAAACAGGAATTATTTTTTTTACTGTTTTTGCGAAATTACTTTGCTATTTAAAAGTTAAGAGGAAAATTAATACAGATTTTATATTTAAAGCTAGTTGTTTGGATTTTATAGAGTTTTTCTAAGATCTAGTTATTTTGTTTTTGCAGAGTGGCTTTGTGTTTCTGTTAATGAACTCCACCTTTTTTGTTAAATAAATAAAATATGATACAGTATACTTTTCGTATCTTTCTCAATAATAGCTTTTTGTAACTTAATATGATAGATAGGATCAATTTTGCATAAAAAAGTTTGGCAACGGTTTGGTCCTTGATTCGTATTTAACGGAATTTAAAGTTCCCAGTAGAAATGCATAATTTCAAATCTCTCAAAAGAATTTTTTAAATATATGTTTTCTTGTTTAATGAAATACGTACGTGAAAGAGTGAAAAAACGATAACATTAAGCGATACGATATGCTAATATCAAATTGTATTTTCCTATTACTTCAAAATTTTTTTAAATCATTGTAATTTCAAGAATAAAAAGATCCTAGTAAGATTTCATAGCTTTTTAATCGAGTTTTAAAAACAAATTCTACTAGTGTAGGACGTGAGCTTCCAGAAAAAACTTTGATTCCCTTAAAAGTTCAAATTCTTAAGATTTCAGCTTTAAATCTGATTTATAATTTATGATAACTTTAATCAGTATAACATAATAGTAACTATTAAGAGCGAAGTTTGGAAAAATATGCTTCTTTTCATGCAGATAGGTCACACCCATATACGGAAAGCAATTTTTTTCTTTTCATTAAAAAATCTTCAAAAATTACCTTTTCTTTTAGTAAGGTGTTATTTTATGTTTAATTGATTAGGCGAGTATTCGAATTATTTTTCTTTTCCTTTCCTCATTTCTTTTGTATCATATCACTAATGCTAGAAATATGAAAACTGTAGATACATAACAGGAGGAGAGCGTACTTAAAGTAGATAATAGCTGACTGAATGCTTTATATGCTATTTGTACGACTTCTTAGGTGACTTGCCTGTTGCTTTTATGGGGATTTGAACAACAGCGTGAGAAATATTAGTTGCTTAGTTGATTAATTGATTTTATAAAATAGGGAGGATTATTTGGCTAAGCAAAGAGATGACTTTGTGGAGGTTTTTGGTGAAAGGAATATATGGCGGAATTTGATTTACACATGGGAAAAATCACGAAAGCACTGTGTAGTGTAGCTAGCATATTCTAATGGAGATGAACTCGGAAACTGGAGAAGGAAAATTATCGAACTTATACCGAAAACCAGATCGGACTTAGTTAATTTATTTAGCTTGCACATGTGAGAAAAATTAAATTCACAGCTATTAGGTTTTGCACAAATTCGTAAACAAAAGCTCAATTAATGCTTCATTTTCCTTTGCATTTTTTTTGGTTGAGCAGAATTAAGATCTATACCGGCAATAAACTGTTAGACTTTACATATTTATTGTTCAAGCTTAGCATCTAAAAGTCGATTTGTTTCATTTTTGTTCTTATTGATGAATGGATATTTATATTATCTATGACAGGCTATTATACATCATTTAAATATAATATAATATGTTTTCATATTAGACTTATAAGTATAAAAGTCTTCTTGAGTTAATAAGATACGTATATTTTCGGCTAATGATATAAACCTGTTTTAAAATTACCATTATATATTTTTTTATTATTCTGATTACTTTGCGTATACAGTACTTACGTCCATCTTTTGGATAGTTTATATAACCTTTCTTATGCAGACTGAAGTTTTACATTTTATCAAAAATATTCTTCTTTTTATTATATTCAGTATCTTTTACATGATAGGCCTTGGTTCAGGAAATTTGATAGTTTGGAATATTAATATTAATTGGCGCATAACTTCTTTGATGAAATCTGTGCTGATCTTCTGCAATTAAGTCTACTCGACCACCCTATGGTGATGAGGAAGCTTCGTATCTAAGTTTAGGAGGGCGTTTTGGCAATACCAGTAGGCTGTAGTGAAGCTCTTCGGTAATTACCTGTCGTTATTGCTCTTGCTAGCTGAGTACTAGCTGAAGTTTTTACTGAAAGAAAATTACGTTAATAATCCTGTAATAGCGGAGCCATCTTCCTAGGATTTAAATATAACTTTGATTCATAAATACTTAGAAACATTGTTTCTGTACAGTCATAAGTAGCGAAAGTAAAATTTTTAATTTCATAATTTCGAGTTGGAGTTCGATTGAAACTTTAGTATGCTCACATTGTTGAATTTACTTAACCTTCTGTATTGACAGGTAAAGACAGGACGAGAAGAATTCTTTTGTGTAGACTATTACAATAGAGTTCAAATTATATCAAATAGAGTTTAACTTTATAAGTTAAAAGCTACAACAAATTATTTTCAAGACAAAGAATATTTTGAATGGATATTTAAAGTTCCAGAACATTATTTTATCTAGTACTTCGTAAACATATACATATATATGTATTCGAAATAAGACGTTTACCTTCTTCACAAGCCAAAGTTGTTAATACTTTGCGAAATTAAAAGAAAGAGATAGAAGACAATGCAAGTTTAAACAAATTTTTTATTTCACACACACATCCAAATCAATGTTATACTTAGAGTTTAATCCTAACCACTACGAAAAATTTATCAGGAGAGAAATATTCATTTTTCAACGATGAGAAACCAGATATAATAGCGACACGCATAGTTTATAAATACGTAACATGTTATGATGACATATCCTGTTATATATACACTGTCAGTCTAGAAAGAAAACCGAAATTACATTTTTCTCAGGAAATTAGCAAGTCCATAGAAAATCTGATGTGCAACACTTAAGCAACGACATTAGCATCAAAATGATAAAATCAGCAAAAAGCATAAGCTAAATATTTTCTGTGAAGTGCAGGTTGAATTACTTACGTTCTTTGGCATTCTGTCGCAAGATCAGAATGGAGCAATTCGTGAATATTAAGCTTTGTTTCAAACGCTGTAAAATACCTGCAGGAATAACTGCATTGGTGTACCAGCTTTATGGCTACAATTATACATTGCGAATATACGTTCTCATACAGTTCCATTCCTTCATGGGCTGGGATAATCAATGAACTAATAGAAAATGTAGGCAGAATTATCACTATCGGTCCAACGCCGAATACTTGTTCAAGAATTTGGCATATAGAGAGTTTTAGTTTATGTCATTTTGGCTAAAATTTTAAATAAAAGGAAGATTGACCACTCAATAGTTTCCTTCAAGCTAAGAGAAGACACGTGATGAATGATGAATATAGCAAAGACGTTGCTGAAACGCGAAAACATAAAGCCCCTACTCTCTACACTGGTGTTGGGAAAATGCATTTAAAGTGAAGCATTTAAAGTAATTATGAAGATCTGGATGGTCATCGAGAACAAATGAATAAACAAGCGCGCATAACAGGAAAAGCGGAGTTTCCAGAAATAAAAAAATACTAATTTGTTTTTCCTGTTAAAAATCTTTTATTACCAGTTCGCTTCAGTAGATCAAATTGTCCCGGGTAGTACTGTTTGCATATTATGGAGTGTGCGTGGAAGAAAATATTAGAGGAGAATACAGAGAGCCAAGACGCTGGTACATTGCATGCAAATACTCCTGCTCGCAAAATAATCTTGGCATAAAATAAGTTTACGTTATCCAGGACCTGCCCTATTCACCAGATAAGATATTATTACATTATATTCTGTTTTACGAAATACGACAGTAAATAAAAATCGTTACAGTAACGATACTAGAGCCCCCCCCCCTTATGAGGGTTCAGCGAGATCATTCAAAAGACAGAGTTGCAAAAACCTGTCCATGCATTTGATTAGTTTAGTTTAGCGTACAAGCCATTGTACTGATGCAAAAAGAGCAAATTTTGAGTTAAAAGTTTGAATTTGGCAAAAAATATGTTATTTTGCAATTTATTCAAATATGTTATTTTGCAATTTATTCAAAAAAAAAAAAAAAAAAAAAAAAAAAATTCGGTTTCTTTTCAGAAGCACTGTGTATATATACATAGGTGTACATTTTAGTTCCAGTTTTACATAATTAGCTAGATAAGTAAATAATTGCGTAAAGAAGTCACATAGTGCATAGACATACATTAAATTTAACATGCAATTAAAATTTTTTTAGAAGTATATCGTGTCACTACATGTCACTACGAGTAATCTATATGCTTTAATAAAGTGATGCAAACACACAGAAGTTCTTTTAAATGCATATTTAAAAATCAAGACAAATGTACGTTTATCCAGCACACTCATTACAAACACACGTAAAAATGTAGAATTAAGTAAAATATCCGCGATTATCTAAAGTTTTTTTTTTGTTGTGCCATTTGCATGATAAAATTCTGGTGTATGTTCTTCTGAAATTTGCGTTGCACAATGCATAACAGAAAGGATTAACGGTGCTGTTGATGTAGCACAGGTAATATGCAAAATTCCAGAGACCTGGAGTAATGCAATCATCATCGTCGCAGTTAGAGAGGGTTTTGTAAAGGACTAAAACGTTGTAGGGGGTCCACGTTACAGTAAATGCAAAGAGAATAGCGCTTAGCGTTTTAGCAGCTTTCATTTCTTGCTTCCTTTCTTGTTGCTTGCGCTTCTTTTTAGGTGCTCTGTGCTTCGCCACTTGCTTATGAACCAACTTTGTGTTCAGAGGAAGCCTTATTGAATCTACAGCAGTGTCAGTTGCTGTTACCAAAGAATCAGTTGTTCCTGGTTCATTAGGAGTTTTAGCATCCGCAGAATCACCTTCTTGTATAGACTGTATGGCATTTTCACTCGTTTCTTCATCTTCTATGATCATTTTAATTGAAGCCTGGGGTTCTCCCTCCACAGCAGCTGACTTCGGTGGAAGACGTATTAATATAGTATATACTGAATCTTGAGAATTAATGGGTGGCTGCGAAGTTTCAAGTGATGCTGCTGTGGTTGAAAGAGGTGATATTACACTGGTGCTTGCTGCTGAAGTGGGTTCGGGGGGCTGTACGATTGGAGTAGTAGCAAGTCTTGGCGACATGCCCGTTACTTGTCGTTTCCATTCCGAAGCAGATGATTCAAGTAGTCTTTGGCCATTTCTTTCTGTCATGGGAATTGCCTGATCATTAGCTTTCTGTGAAGATGCTGATACCGTAGAAACAGATTGAGATTGCAATGGAATTCGGTGGTCAAGTCTGAAACTCATGGAAGCTGTTCGAGAACAGGCCTGCATGGGTGTTTCGAGAGAACCTGGGGTTGTGACTGGAGACTCATGACTAGTACTTTCTTCTTCTTGGGGATCGCCTTCTCGGTCGATTTTGCACCAAGCTCGCAGCAGTTCGGTCATCTTGAGTCGTTTCGATTCTTTATTTTTAGGAAGATACTTTGAAGTCTCAACACAGAGAGATGTTGGTACATATGTTGTTTCCAAAGTATCTTCCAAAACGCAAGAATCCGTACGCAATCTTCTCGCTTCTTCGGCTTTTCTAGTTACTTCTGCATTATCAGGAGGATCATCACTTGATGTAGATTTTCGACTGTCTTCTTTCTTGCCAGCTTGCAGATGAGTCAAATCCTTTTGCCTTTGCTTTGTTTCTCTCCATATTCTCCAATACAAAATGCACATCACCGTAACAGGAACGTAGAAAGCTGCTAAAGCGGTGCCAAAAGTAACATACGAATTAGTTTCCAGAAACTGAATATAGCAGTGATTTTTCTTCACCGTTCTTCTACCTTCTATGTAAGGCCAAGCATAGATCCAAGGAGGCCAGAGCATGAGAGAAATGACCCAAGCGGATGCAATCATAAATGCTGCTCTTCGTGTCGTACGAAGAGCTCTGTATGTCAAGGGCCTTGTAACAGAAAAATATCGATCGAAGCTGATAATTAATAAATTAAGTACGGATGCGTTACTGTTAAGGTAATCAAATGCTAACCAAGTATCACATACGAAATCACCAAGAGGCCAAGTACCAATTAACAAATACATTGTAAACAAAGGCATTGAAATAAGTCCTATTGAAAAATCTGCTACAGCTAAACTCAGGAGAAAATAATTGCTGATTGTCTGAAGCTGCTTGTCCATTTTAAACGATATCATAACCATTATGTTTCCAATTACAGTAATGATGCTCAGGATTCCAGCTACTATGGCAATGAGAATCATTTCAAAAATAGAATATGGTGGTTTTTCTACCCGAACTTCGCCAACTAAACCAACAGTAACATTAAAGTCATTAAAATCTAATGATGTCAAAGATTGTGCCGTAGTAGTAGAAGTGCTAAGTGCATCTGCAGATGGAGTAACCATGATGTCCACGTAGAAAAGTAGGAATTCAGGTCCAAAAAATTTGAAAGTACTCTGAACTTGGTATAGTTTAACTTGTTAAGAAAATACTTGTGTAGAAGAATCTGTATAAAGAAAGAAAATTTTTGAGATAATTAGTATAAGATCGAATAATAAGCTAAATGCATCATATGAGATGAAAAGTAAAAGTAAAATTTACAAGTTTATTTTAATTGCTGTTATTTTAATCATGCATCCAATTCGTATATTTATTTCAACGATTCTCTTAACGAATGCTAAAAAGGAATAACACAGTGCACTGAAATGACTGCAATACAGCTCACTGTGTTGAAGTAAGTATGTTTCAATAGAAATTTTGATAACCATTAAATTTTACGTTTCATATTAGAAAATAAGAAATAGCTCGACAATCAGGAAATGTAAGAAACAGATTTTCAGAACTTTTTTGATAAAAAAAGAAAAGGATAGTTATGTAAATTTCTATTTAGTTTTAATAATAGTTATTTTAATTTGTTAGCCTTTCTTGAATTCTCGTATTTCCATTTGCATTTCCTCGTCAGGATGTATTTGAAGTAGGTGAACGTGATTTAAACTTATAATAAGGTAGTTCCCTCCCTCCTTCTCCAGCATGCCTTCGTGGTGTAACGGTAGCACACTCAGCGCGTATTCGAGAGCTCCAGGTTCGAGTCTCGGCAAGGGCATTGCACATTTTTCACGTGTCTTGCTTCCTAATGACTCTACAAAAATCCTAATGACTCTACAAACTATTGGAACGAAACTGTTAGACCAACCGTTATTTCGCTAGTGAAAGTGCACGTTTGCTAGTTTTTCTCCAGCTGTTAATCTTAGTAGAGGCAACGCATCCTTGCCGTCTAGTTAGTATAGTGCCGGTGTAGGTTTCTGAGTCAGCCTGTTAGAATATGTTGAATTGTATAATCCGGCACTACATCTTTATCTTTAAATTTATTGCTAAATTAACTTTCAAGTTCTCACCGCAAGTAGTCGGTGCTGTTTCGTACACAAATAAATTCGTGCTTTCTGCTAGAAAGTTTGTGATCAATAACACCATCTTTTACCCCCTTTCGTTGGTTGTGTTTATCTTCATGCTTGTGCGAGAAGTCACAAGGCCAATACTTAAGTGATCTAGTTACCATTTTATGGCAGCAAAACGTACGGGATCTCAAAGTTAAACAAATTTACTTGATCAATTTATTTAATTTTTAAAAGAGAATATCGTTGCGCCTTTTGCGAAATTCCTCAAAAATTAATCAATATTCTCAGTAAAACTGATTATGTTGATTTTCCTCACAATGTTAAACGCAATATTACATCTTTAACAATATTACAGAAGAGGAAGGGGCTATACCAGAAATAAGCCTAGACCACCTGAAATCCGAAGAGAAAGAAATAGATTGAAAAATTGGTAAGAAAATTTATTTTTTTATTTCATGAGAAACCGGGCTTCTGTCCGGTTGTGACTCACTCTATTGATACGGAGAATACCCCTCCAATCCGATCTAAACCTTACCGGTATGATAGAGTCAAAGAACAGATTCTGGAACATCACACACAGAAGATGTTAAAAATAAAATCGCTGTGGCGAACACTAGTCCCTGCGCAAGTCCGGTGGTCCTTTGCAGAAAGAAAAATGGGCTACCACCCGAGCACCCGGACGCGTACAGGTTTGCAGTTGATTATCGCAAAATTAACAGCATAACAAAATATCCTACGTATCCTCTAAACATAATTGATGAAATCATCAGAAAAATTCGCTCTATTAAATTCATAACAACGTTAGACCTAACGTCTGGTTATTTTCAAATCGCTGTAAAATCGAAGAAGTCGAAAAGAAAGCGTTTATAACAAAGTCAGGTATCTATGCCTTCTTGAGAATGCCATTTGGTTTAAGCGAAGCCCCGGCTACATTTCAAAAAGCCATGGATATAGTTTTCAGGCCAGTTTTGGGTAAAAGTACAATAATTTACCTGGATGACATAATACTCATCTGCAAAACGATAGACGAACACATTAAGCATTTGGAGGAAGGTTTTGCCCTGCTTAATGAGGCCGGTTTCAAAATAAACCCGAAGAAATGCAAGTTTGCTGCCAAGAAGTTGTGATACCTTGGGTACAAGATTTCAAGCAAGGGTATCGAGACCGACAATTTCCAGATATTAGCAATTAACAGCTACCCTCCCCCAAACACGGCTAAGAAATTATCTTCAGTTTTGGGCTTGTGTTCCTATTATAGGGTATTTATTAAGGACTTTGCGAAAATTGTCGAGCCTCTTTTGGTGCTTAAAAGATAGAAAACGAGATTTTCTTGGACAGCCGAGCGAACACGGCTTTTGAACAACTAAAAAATGCCCTAATTAATGCCCTAATCCTCAAATTCCCAGAAGGGGAACAAGATCTAAAGATTGCTGCGAATGCATCCGATTACGCAATTGGTGCGGTTCTTTCCCAAAAAGGGCAGCCGATAGCTTTTTTTTTTCAAAAACTCTTAACTCAACTACTCGGCAACCGAGCGAGAAATGCTTGCTGTTTTATTAGCGGTTCAAAAATTTCGCGTTCTCGGAATACTTCGGAAGTTCTCGGATAACAGTATATTCGGACCATGCGGCAGTCGGTCGCTTGTATTTGGGGAAAAATCCATTGCCGCGTCTGATACGGTGGACATTAAAACTACAAGAATTTAATTTAATTACAAAACACATGCCTGGAAAAGAAAATTTAGTAGCCGATGTCCCTTTCAAGAATTAAAGTACATGAGGAGGGGAGTACAGTCAAATGTTCTATGCTCATTTCGAAAGTTATTGAGTCCCGTGAGTCTGTTATTGAAGAATTAAGAAAGAATCCTGAATTCAAAGACATTTACGCATATCTTAAAGATCTTGGAAATTTTGAACATGTAGACTTAACAACTATTCGCGAGAGGGCGGGGCATTACGAAATAATTGATGAACTACTATTTTACACGAAATTAACAAGTGAGAGTTAAGGAATAGAGTCCAGTGATCCAGTCTACGTTTAAATATTTTAACAGAACTCCATGACTCCCCGATGACTGGAAATCTTGGAATTCGAAAAACCTTACAGAGGGTCCGCGAAGCGGTTTATTTTCCGCAGTTACAGAGGGCAGTTGCGGCGTATGTCAGGTCGTGCCATTTGTGCCAGTTAGTAAATGATGTTAACTACAGCCCGGTCGGGTATTTAAAAAACATAAAGACCATTTTTCCAAATGAAATGGTTGGCTACCCTAGAACAAAAATAAGTAAAAATAGATATTTGTTAACAATAGTTGATCATTTTTCAAAATGGGTAGAAATAGTCCCTCTTAAACAAGCTTCAGCTAAAACAGTCGCAGATTCATTTTTAAATAAGCATATTTTAAAATACGGGGCCTCAATAAAAAATAATATAAAATAATGGCAAACAATCTGTTAGCACTATATTTAAAAATCTTTGCACAGGACTTGGCATACGCCATCTAAAAATGGTACCATATTGACCGCAATCGAATATTGAGGAATGCGTAAATAAGAATATTGCAAAAAATATTAGAGGATACATAAAGAATTATCACATGAATCATGTGTCAATGAGTCAAAGAATCATGTGTCAATGAGTTAGGTTTTGCCTTGAGAACAGCAGCTCATGATACTACACAAAAGACCCCCGCAGAGTTATTTTTAGAAAGAAAGCTTTTAAAGCCTTTAGATAAGCTGTTTTTTGTACAGAAAAGGCAAGTAGAATTCAAGTTAAAATAAATACAGAGAATTATCGATGAAGCAATTAAAAACTTTAATATAGCAAGGCAGAAACAGAAGTTCTATTACTATATAAATAGAAGGGAAATGGAATATACAGTGGGGCAGAAAGTATTAAAAGTAAAACACTCATTATCTTCCTCACCCATAAAACAGGGTTGCCAAATTTGAGCCCATGTTTGAAGGGCCGTATATAGTGGAGAGAATAAAGGAAGCTACTTTTTATTTAAAGGCCGAAAATGGACAGCAAGTGGTTAGAAATATTAATCAGATTAAACCTTATTACAGTCGTAATGATTTTCAGGTTTTACAGGATTTATTGCAGGATCCGGGAAGTAAACAAAGAATTCCTCCAAGTCAGAAGCCGAGCTGGAGTCCCCCAACAGCAAAAATGAAGCAGACGGAGAAACCGGAACAATCACCGGCCAACCAGATTCAATCAGGAAAAGGTTCAGGCTCAGCGAAACGGAGGAAAATAAGGCCTACGGACGAACACACCCAAATAGAGGATTCAAGAGAAACACCAGTACCGGCGGCGAAGAAAACAAGGCTCGCTGAGGAGGTTCCAGCGAGACAACAAATTCAACGACGTGCGGAATCAACGAAAGAAAGCTACGTTTTCCCGCGGCAACGACCACTAGGGAGGATCAAGGAGGACCAGATTGGAGGAAGACAAGAAATAAAAGACCAGTCGATACAGCCGTGCCAGACTAGCAAGAAAGAGGTCAAAGCGGAAGATGAAAGACCCGGAAGAACGAATGGCCCCGCCAGAGGTTAAGAGGAAACTTCAGTTTCAAAACCCGCAACCGTCCCGGAAAAACCCTAGGTTCATCAACAAAGGGCAAGAAAGGAAAAGGAATGGCGGAAACGGCACGAATCATCGAAGTCGGAGAAGAAGGCTGGAATTACTAAGATACCCAACATTTGAGCAATTCTGTTTCATCAGGATTCTCCAAGTCGAATTTATATAAATTGTGATGATGATAATTTAAACACTTTCGTTGAGGAAGAACAGTCGATTTTAGAGAAAATTAAGGAGGTTCACTTAAAAATTATTCATAAGTTAAAGATCGACAAGGTCGTAAATGCAAATAGCGACAAACCAGCCGAATCAATCTCTGAAAGTTTAAAGTTACCAAAATTACCCCCATTTAGCGGAAATTTAACAGAATGGATAACATTTAAGGATTTAAGACACAATAACACGCCGAATAAATACTAATTCAGAAGTCAAACAACAAAAATCAGCGTTATATTTACAAAATTTTCACAGGACTAGTTTCGATGGTTTTACCGAACCACCATCCTCAGCTGCAAAACCGCAAATGAACAAG